TATCCTTCAGGCTTGATTTTGTTTAAATCCAACAGCCCCAAAACCAAAGAGACATGAACATATCTTGAAAATGTAAAACCCCACACTTCAAAGCATAAACATTCTCAATCGATCTCATATTATTGTTTGTGCGTCAATCCCACTCCTCAACCAAAACGACAGCTTTTTCTCCACCTTCCTCACCAGCCACTTCTTCACCACCAGCTGCTGCTGCCTCCTCCGCTGCTTTTGCCTCCTTCTTGTTATTGTTGACCCACTCGCAAAGGTCCTGACTAGCAAACATCATCCCATGTTTTAAAAAAACATGGCATGATATGGCATGCAAACAAATATAGAACACCTCTCCTGTACTAAGCTGAAATTTTGGCAGTAACTTTGACAAGGACCAGTCCTCCAAAGAAGGATCGAGAAGCAGGCACAGTGACTGGAATTCCACTACCTTAACCGCAGCAGCAATGAGAGACTTGAAGCACAGTCAAGAAGAAGACCCAAATACATCCAAATACTACGCATTTCTTTGGAGCAAGAAAATCGTAGGTGGCACCAAACGATGAAAACTTACTGTAATTTGATCCAAAGTGCAGTACTCACTTCCCTTCGTTGCGCCTTCATTTTGACAAATCTGAGCATTTTACGGATGTCCCAGCTCGCGTCATCAATCACATCTTCTGTGGCAGTAATCTGGTTGAGTGAGAAAAGCGTGCTGACGCATTCACGCAACTGTTCGATCTCAGGCAAGCGGGTGCCTGCTCCCACTTGCAAAAGAACTGGTGAAATCAAGTCAGCATTTGCCACACACTTTGGGATTTTCACATCATGGTCTGAGAGGCCAATGAGTGGTTTTTGATTCCGCAACTTGTCCCTGATATTAGGACAGGCATCCCACTCTACTGACAACTGGTTCGAATCAAAGCGAGATTTGTTTACCCCGTCATCCACAGAGCCAGAGGACATGCTTGCTACGGCTACGTGGCAAGGTGCACAACTAACCAGCTTGATGCTCCAAAACCTGAAGTCTTCAAAATCTAAGCGTCACACCATGATGTACCAACAGAATGCGTGAAATCAAGAAGCTAGAAATTCATTTTCCAAATGTCGGTGGTCTCATGGTGAGGGTTTGTCTTAAAGCTAAATTGACACTCTTGTGTGCTAATGAAAAGTGTTGCTGATGCTTCCCTTGAGGCCCAGGCCCCGCTCCGGAGTGTCCGCTCATAGGTTCCACCGCCGCTTTGCGGCGCTACGCTTCAAGAAAGCGCTTCGGAACAACAACAAACCCTCTAAAAGCAAGGTTTTAGCCAAAAACCTGGTTTTTTCATCAATAACCTAGTTTTTCTTGAAGAAAACAAAAAAACCAGGTTTTTGACACAAACCTTACTTTTTTCTAAGGTTTAGGTTTCCAAGGTATAGAGTATATTAATTATTAGTATATTATGTGATATTAATATACAGTAGTAGCTATTATGATATCGTTGACGGAACACCTTGCCCTGCAGTCTCCTTGTTTTGGAGTTGAGCCAGGCAACGCTGTGCGTTTTGCGCTTTGGAAGAAAGGCGACGATGGAAGTTCCTTGATGCTGAGGCTCGCTGCTTTGATCCTGTTTGGATCCAAGAACACTTTTGCATGTCCAGCAATATATAATATATAGTTTGAAAATGTTTGAAATAAAGGCACTGACCTGGAAGGAAATCCCTTCTACAAGGGGTCCCCCAGTAGTACCTATCTATCGGAACTTCAACCCTGCTAAGTCGGACTGCATGCGGTGTTTGGAGGGGACTGGACGACAGAGAGAGACCTTGCCTTGACTCTTTCTTACCATCACCACATTACCCAACAAACTCCAAACTTACAACCATATCTTTTAACCGGCTGAAGCACCGCACCAGCTCGAGCCCGAGCCTGCTGCAGCTGCTTCTGATGTGACCCGAAGTAGGCCAGCTCTGGAAAGGCTCTTGGGAGGTTCGACTGCAGCGGCTCGCGTGGCGCGAGCAGCCCGACGGCGTGCCCGACGGCTTGTCACTGCGTCACTGGACCCAAGTCCCCCATACGACATGATTGTAGCCAGTCAGTGAATGCAGTGTGCTCTTTGAGGTTTGGATTGAGACAGCTTGGCCAACAGCAGCTTTCCCGACGTTTTCCATTGTTGTCAATCCGATACGAAGGCAAAAGAGCGACCTCCGAAAGAAATTCCAAACACTCCATAGGACTACCATATATATACATATATAGTTGTATATTTACACGCATATGACATTGACTCCCCTGGCACCACCCCCAATGTAGTGAAGCATGGCAGTCCAAAGGAGTGTCTTGGAATTGAATGAAATTACAGCCACTGAATTACACCGTCAACCCTCCGACGAGCCACTCTAGGCACTATAGAGGGCATGCCCATCCAATAGCCTAGCGGGCGGTTTGTACAGGTTCCAATGCAGTGTGATGTAAAAGATGGACACACAAAAGAACGCAGAAGAAGGCAGCCAAATGGGAAGACTAAGAACATGAAACCACCAGGTGTGCCAGGCAGCTTAAAAAGAAGAGGGCAGCTCAACCACTCAGTTGACCCACGTTTGCATGACGGGCCCCAGCGTTTGTGGTTTCTCCGTGTGACCGGCACCGGCCACATCTCGACCTTCAGGGCTTTGTCGTTCTCTCGAGCTGCAAACAGAAGCCCAAAGCATCCGGAACATGGAACCCATCGACCTGCCACACCAAACTTCACCACCATTGGACCACCTGCCATTCCCAATCAAAAGGACCCGAACCGACACCGACGCCGCCGACCCTTCGCGCGCGTGTCGCGCGGTGTCTGCGGAGCGCGGAACAGGACGTCGACGTCCGGCGGGTCCTTGAAGCGCTTCTCGCCCATGGAACCGTTGAGCACTTGCTGCGCCAGGAGTCGACCTCGGCGGATTTGGGCGCGCGGATGCGGGTCCGCGCGGGGTCGAGGGGCGCCCCCTCGGCCATGGGTGCTAAATAGGGGGAAGGGACAAATACAAGATTATGTCCAAACAAATGAAGAAGGCTTTTTAAAGATCCTGCAGTCATGATGTCAAAAAGAAAGGTACAAGCGAATTGGTCCACCGGATTTAAGTGGAGTACCCGTATTTCCACAAAAGAAATGATGCTGCAAGTGATAAAAACGTACTCTGCAAGTGATGAAAACGTACTTCCTGGGTAGGGTCAAACTCAGCTCCAAGGCAAGGCTTGCTTCATGTTAGCAAGGAGATGTTGGGTTTCTATCCCAAACACTCCATGAGACTCGAATACGTACATGTACATGTCTACATTAACCGCTGAATATGCCATACATGGAGTGTCTGGGTGTTAGTATTGAACGTTTGAAAACCACGGGTCACAATAACCACAACTGATGAGTTCATGAGCTCTTGTTTGATATTGGAGCGCCTGGGATAGAACCACAACTTTCCAGTGAGCGAAGTGACCAGTCACCTCGCACTGGCGGAGTACATTTGGCTTTCCGTGCTCAGTGAAGGAGCTCCAGTCACGGCTCGCTACAATGGCTGGAAAAAAAAGGAGTTACATGGCCCCCAACCCCAGGACGGAAATCCATGAATCACGTCCCAATCGTGTATGCTTGACTGTATGTGAATTTCGAGTCCATGTGGCAGTTTCAGGCTTTATATGGGCAGGACAAACAGTGATTATTTGGGACTCGTTTTTTTGCATTAATTACTTGACGTATTGAGAATAGAATATGATGTTTGACTCTTGGTTGTGATGGGTCATGACTTCTCATCTGGGGTAAACTGAATCATTGGCAGTTCTGGGCTACTTTCGGTTCACGTCTGTTCCCCATGTGTGCTGCACCCCTTTTGCCGCGTCCAGGACAGGTGCCGCCCGATTTCTCCGCGACCGACGGACTTCCTGCCCGATGAGTTTAGAAGAGCTGTAGGCTTAGCTGGGTCCTGTCCAAGCCCCTGTGAGAGGGGAGGGTGTAAACATGTGCCCCAAAAAAATAATGAAACAAAGCAAAACAAACGTAGATCGATCACTGGATGAACAACTTCCAGTCTACTCATCGAGAGGATGCCCGTGGTGTCTGCCTGTTTCCATGGAGTCGTTGGAAACCACTGTTCCGCTCGACCACCACGGCGCCGGAGCAGAGCTGCGGGACGACTATCGTCCGTCTCGGTTCGTCTCGTGCTTGAGACACTTAGTATGGGAACTCCTGTTGGAGTAAACTGGCACCCTGTCCAAAAACATATGTTTTGTATTGTTTGTGTATATATATATATTAATATTATGTAAAAATGAATAAATAAATATATATATATATGTATATGTATATACGTCATACCAGCTTCCAAAACTAAATGGAATCCACTTTACGTTTCTTCTACTATTTTCCAACTCGTCAAACGCAAACTGAATTTGTTTGGCACTAAAGTAATTACAGTAAGAACCGGCTACAACAGTCCAGCTTGGCTGCTCTGCTAGTTGATGCAAGGCCTTCTGAACATACATCCCCTTGTACACAAATACACTGATGAGCTTATTAATGATCCAAATACACCAGCAAAGCTTCACCAGAGCTCACTGTGTCAGCAGAAAAAAATGCCCCCCAAACGCATAGACCTATTTTTGCAGCTCACCACTCACCCCAATGCCATTCAGAACATGTTTTATGCCCACAGTCCTCCTTCAATCGGCACCTTTAATGCTCGGAGGCTCCACAGATTCCGAGTTGTTTTATAGTTGTTTTGTTTTCATATACCGGTACCCTCCCGCAAACGATCCCTTGGAAGCTGATATTTTTTCCCCGGTGTTTTCGACCATTTTCCGAATACCAACCCAGTGGCTTTGGGGTTCCATGTGGACCTCTGCGGTAGATGTTCTTTGTATCATATCCCATCACTGCTGATCTTGTAGTTGTTCTTTTTTTTGCACCAGATCTGATGAGACTCATCAGTGATGAATGCTGAGTCAAGATGTCTTACACATCATGAGGCTTGCCGCTGAAAACCGATGACTCCAGCGCGTCACCGACTCAGTTCATCGAATGACTCAGGTCGCACCAATTGATTCAGCTCTGCGACAGGTACCGTGCCGTCTGTGACGCCAAACAGCTCTGCTCAAAGGCTCTTCCAAAATGACTCCTCGATCACCGGGGTCTTCAAAATTCTGTTCAGGAAAGCCGCATTCGTCCTTGGCACGGGGCGAGGCTGCCCAGGCGATCGCGAAGGGTGGACATCTGTGGAACAGTGAGCAAAGGTGTATGATCTACTTGGATCCAGGACCTCTGCCAAATGTCTTTGGCACCTTCTATATTGCTGTATGGATGTATGGATAGTGAGCACTTAAAGTTCTTGACCCCTCAGAGATGTCTGAATCTCCAAGCATCTCGGTGTTTTCTGCATGAGAAAGTAATGCTATCTTTCCTTGGAAATACCTGAGATTCTTCCGTTTTGGGGACCCGCCAGCCAATGATATCTTGGGCCTTCTCGCCCGACATGAGTTGTTGACGGGGCAGATTGATGCGGTGACCCAGCCGTGTCATTCACAAGAGTCAAAAGACCAAAAGCAGAAAGGCCTTAAGCTGTGAACTGTGTCGACGTGTTGCTGAGACTTACCCATCTTGAGCCATGAGTGAGCCATGAGTCTTGCGCGACCATTCACTAACTGAATGTAAGGATAAGTATCCCACGCTAAAAACCATTAACAACAACATCGGTTGAGCAAAAACGCGTCTTGGTCTTGACATCTTGATCGCCCAGTGACCAGGACTCTCCCTGTCTGGCCAAAGGTGTCCTCAATTTCTTGGACACCGAGGACACCCTGCTATCTTTGACCAGTTGGTTTCCGCTGGAGCCATAGCCAGCTGGAGCCAGCACCCCCCAATCTCGGTTTTCTGAAGCTTTGCAGCGCAGGTTCCGAATGCCTTCCTCAGCTGGTTCTTTTGCTTGAGCTCCGCTGGGAGCCGGAAAAATGGATGAACACAACATGTGTTCTGTATCGGATGTTAAATCCCACAAACAGGACCGGCTTCGTCGGTGTGAGCAAGTAATACCGGTTTTATCATGTTTTTATTTGTAGAGCTATGTTGCATTTTCTAGAGGACTTTGGAGGCTCCAGGTAGATGCTTCCACAGAATAGGAGATGGTCCCTGGAAAGTCATTTGACCTACTTGCCTGCACCTCCAGGTTTCAGATTATCCGGTTTTGGAGATCCAAATTCAACACTCCAGTATCCTGGTACTGATGCGCGATCGCTCTGGATGCAGCTCTGGATGCCTGGATTCTTCTAGCACTTGCGCAAAAACGGGGAAAAAAACCCTCACATTGGACTCTTCCATTTGATTTCGATGCTGACTAAGCACCGGATCTGGGACACTCCCTCCTAACAAGTTTGGTCAGCACGACTGTTCATGTAGATGAAAAGTGGATGAAAAACATTGCACAAAGCTGTGACGACCACCCTAGAGACTGAACTCCTGGTTCATACCCAGAAACCCTCCCCCCCCCAGGGTCGGGTCGGAGAGAGACAGGAGAGAGGAGACACAGGACATCACGTCCAACATGACGTCCAACACTTCCTCCCAAAGATCGGAAGCTGATTGAGTTGGATCTGGGATACCAACCCTTTGCAAGCGTCGCGAAAACGACGGGTTTTACGCTGCGGTCTACCTGCTGATCTATTTTTCGATCTATTTGGCAGTCTAATGAAATGGAGTCTATATAGAGAGTGGGGAACAATATAACTCATCCACGCCACAGTTTTGGCTGCGTGCCGTGGGGATAGCATAGTATCACAACAAGAACCCCCCTGCCGGCTTCGCATTTGAAAGTGTCCCACCAGTTTGATGATAAAGTCGTCAACCCCCCAAATATATGATGATCATCACCAAGCATGACACAAGAATAACAATCAGAATAACAATGAAACTGTCAATGAAAACCACAGAAAGTCTACAGCACCAATAGAATAACAACCTCGTAGGGGTTCTTCGTCAATCACGGGACACGTCTCACAATCCCACGGAAGAGCCCGCCCTCGATATCTGGACGGGTCGCTAGAAGTTGGGAGATGGTCCTCTGGTTCTGCTTCAAGGGGTGTTCTTTGTAGAACCTCACAACGCCACACATGAGGCTGACATGTCAAATGTCTCAACAGCGGTTGGGTGAAATATGGAGGGAAGGTTGGCACGTGGCAAGCGCAATATCTACCCCCCTACATGGAGCCAACCACTACATGGAGCGATATAGCAGCTATGCAGGCAATGTGGACAAACTATGTAATTAACTATAGGACAAGCTACTGGGATGCTCAAAAATAGTTAGTCCAAGCTTAGGGAGTGCACCCATCCATCCAAAACTGGGACATCGCTCGACCTTTCATCAGGTAGGTCATCATCAGGTCGGGAACGTGTTCTTCGATTGATGGGTTGTTCCCGAAAGACGCGTTTGCTGGGGAAAATCCACTTCTGAATGATATTCAAGGACCAAACACGTGGTGAACTCAACTTCCATGGATGAGTTCAGAGTGTGTGTAAAATAACTTGAGTCGGAAAAACTTCAATATTTCTGGGCAAACTTGGATCCTTCCACCGTGCTTTTCGTCATCTGAACCAGTTAGATCATCTTCACATCCTCGGATGTCAGGTCACAGCAGCTTCCTGTGTGATTGCACTTCTACACATATTGAATATGCAAAGGTAATAGAACCGGAGTGGCCTCTTTTTTTTGGACCACCAACCACCCCGAAAACCAATGGCCTTTTCATATAGCTCGAAGCAGCCGATCCGCACATTCCGGAACCGGCTCCTCAGCGGTGGCTCCTCATCTCACCCCTTGACACAATAAAGCTTCCTTGGGAATCGTTTCACCTGTAACAAGAAGGTTTTTTAGTATGTTTCGTCAAGTATGTTAGTATGTTTCTAGAAGGTTTTTTTGTAACTTCTTAGATTTTTTCACGATCTTAGTACCAATAAAGCTTCCTCCTCACCCCTGGCCACACACCAAGGTGCTGCTCCACCTCTGCAGCAGCCTCTGCGGTGCTGAAGCCACGTGCAGACAGGCTGATCATCGCCTGACGTGGCAAACGACGCACGATCTGGACTGAGCCCGTGACTTTGGAGTTCTGCAGTCACGTTCGACGGGATGCGATCCATGGAGCTTCGGAGTGCCCGAAAGTCACATCCACTCACTAGATTCCTTTGCTAGTAATTACAAGTGCATCGCTAGTAGTAACAAGTGCCTTACTGGTAACAAGAAGCTATTAATTTGATTTAAAGTTATTTTAATTCTAATAGCTTTTTGTTACTACTAGTAAGGCACTTGTTAGCGATGCACTTGTTTCTAGTAGCGTGGCACTTGTTACTGGATGGGACGAGCCACACCACCGCCCGTCGAACGTGACTCTGAGGCTTCGCCCGTCAGTTTCGCTCGCTGAGACTTCCCACGTCCATGAGTGATGGGCTCGCCGTCTTGCACATGCTCCTGGAAGCGGCCGATGTAGGGTGGCACCGGCGGCATCCCGCGAGCGGATCCCCGGCAATGGCTGGCACAGTGGAGTGTTAGGCCAAATGAACGATGAACAGAATAAACAAGGAGAAGATAGGAGAAGTACTAGTCAACCTACCAGGGAATTGGTTTTGACCCACAGCCAGTTCTGAACACGATCCAACCGGCCAACTGGGACAGCAAACAGCTGTGCTACAAGCATCTTGCCACCCAATCCAAGGATGTGCAAGTCCAAAACCAAGACCCCCAATCCCTGACTACAGTAGGTTGACCTCCTTCAGTTCATTTTCGGTGGAAAAACCCGGGTCCTGGTGCCCTGACCCAGAGATACCCAAAGCCATATTCCATGGTACCTATGGAATACATGCAGGCAAATATGCAATACTTGATCACTTGTGGTGCACAACGGGATTTACAACTGATGTTTCTGGTGGTCTGGAATTTACATGGATGGTCTGGGATTTACTTTGATGATTCAACCCTGCAATCGAGTCGGGTTGCAATCCTACTAGACTCGGGTATTCGCCCAACTGCCCTGCTGTTCGCCCAACTTGGACTAGAGTCTGGGTATCCCGAAGAACCACAGAAAACGATTGTTTTCCAAAGAAAAAGCCGAAACCAAATAGACCTTGTTAAGGGTCTTGACATCATGTAAGAGGCCTGGGTTCAGAATCAAGAAAGTATTGGATTAAATCAATACATTTAAAAAAGAAACTAAGACATTGCACATCATTGCACACCACACACCCCTTCCAAACAATTACTTGTTACCCTAGCTACGTTCCTCCCTAAGTTGGGATCTTGTTACCCTAAGCTGGTGAGAGAGTGACGGTGGACAAGTCTGACCAGTCGCTTCACAGCTTTTCGTTCGATCTCGTTCGAACAGTTTGCACCGATCTCAACCGCAACAAAAACGGAAACCACACCACATGATTCATGATTCAGGGGTCTTTCCGGTGCCCTGTTCTGTGTGACCTGTTCTTGTTCTTCTCCTGCCGATGGAATCACGAACTGGGAGACGTCCCATCGAACTGGGTCGCCATCGCTCGTTCGCCCTGTCCAAGGCTCCAGATCCTGTCGAAGTGGCTCTTGTAGTAGTCCTTGGAGCTTCGAAGATCCGAGAATGGTTTCGAACACTTTGGAAGATCAGAGAGAGAATATGGCTCACAAGGTGTCCACAATTGTCCTTATTGCCCTTAAGTACTGAAGGTGTCCCAACAAAACACAGTCGACTGTAAATTAATCTGGGTTCTTTGTGGTCTTTTTGTGCCTCTATAGCTGAGCTATATAGCAGCTAGGACCAAATAACCCTGTGAACTCGACATCAAGTCCAGGCGACATCAACGACAAAAACCAGTGAGCAACAGCAATCCCACGTCAGGACGGGACAAAAAACACTCCATTGGATGGAGCTGAAATAAATCCCTGAAAGCACCCCAATGTAGGGAAATACACCATGCTTCGAGTGTGTATCAACATAGGGAAACCTCCCAATGGCCTCTGGAAGAAGGGACATATGCCAAAACACATTGGTTGCCCCCGTCCATTTGAGAAAAAAAAACACATTGAGTGTTTGGACATTTGATTTCTAGTCATCCAATGTTATCCATCTTTGTGCGAAGCCTTCGCTTCAAAACTGGCAGTTCTACTTTCTCATCATTTGCTGAATCAGTCTGAACCCTTCAGAACATCTTCGTCTGTGGCGACTGGATTCCGCAAGCCTTGCAGTCCTGGTTTTGTTGATACTCTTTGAATCAGAATGAATCATATATATATATATCACAATATTCAATATTCCCTACCAACCTGGCATCATGGTGCTAGATTCAGTTGTTCCAAAGATTGACACCTGCAAGTTGGGAACTCCAGACATATTTTCACTATATGCTCTACTCAAGGGAGGGACTTGTTTCCAACTCGAGCATTGGCACTCAACATGTTCCAACATTCTACGCCAGGAGCAAAGGGTCGAGACGCGGGCGCTTCGTTTTTGATCCCTTGTAGAGGCTACGTCGAATCAAGTCTATCTACTTGTACCTCCACCCCCTAGTCAAGTATCTCAACCTAACCCCCTCAGCAGAAAGGCCTCTGTCTCTTAGCTACCATCCCTTCACCCAAGCTCGCGAAGCAAATCATGACCCCCAAACTCCGGTGTGCCACCCGGAGTGCCAACCGAAGAGATACCACCCGGGGTCCGGGCCCTTCGGCTCCCTTCCCTTCCGTTCCACACGCCCGGGCGTAGTTCGTCCGGTCCCTTCGGCTGAGGCGCCCAGGTGAGCGCCGCCGCCTCCTTCGAGGACGCGGCCACCGAGCCCATGGGATAGAAGAAGTCCTGCGTGGCACCCGTCGCCAGCTCCAGCTCCGCACCGTGCCGCACCGAGTTCGGTGGTTGAACAGCCCAAACATCGCTGCAGCGGGGAGCAGCTCGAGTGACAAGGCTTTTTTTGGGTGTGACCAGGTCGAAGAGTCGACGAGGGGTAAGTGGTAGCTCTGCGAACTCAGGTGAGTACCTACATGTAAAGGTGTTCACAAACAAAAACCATTGTTTTTGCTAGGGAAAACCCGGTTTTTGATGGTTTGGGCCCTGGATGTACCTACTTCGAAAGAAAGCTCGAACTGGAAGATCACGATCATGTCGTAGATTTTGAGGCAGAGCAACCTTCGAGGTGGAGCAACCGTAGCAGCCGCGGTTGGCCATGTCATGCCATGTCTGTTTTTTTTCCCCAGTCTTGGCCACCTCAGCTGGGTCCAAAAGTTGCTCACCATCAGTGCAGCAAGTGGCAAGGTCTCAAATGAATCCTCAAATTTGATATGAGCGACGTGCAAAACCTCTTATGCGTTGCAGCCCAACGTTATCGTCTTATTGTTCTGTGAACCTTATCGTTCCTGAGGGTGTGGACACACCTAACAACATGTACTGAAACCTTATCGTGTTTTCTGTGAACCTTATCGTTCCTGAAGGTTTCCTGCACTTTACTTACTTAGTCTTCACTGTAGTGATGCTGCCTTTATCGGAGGTTTTGGCAGTTGTTCATATGTAGATTAGGATAATTGGGGAAACAATCAAACAACAATTGTGTCAAATGTCTGGCTCTTCCCCTCTCTCTCTCTGTCATCTTTGATGCAGTCAGCTGTAAATATTGTCCATCCTGTTTTCTCGAATGACCTATGCCCGGCCCCTCCAGGCATTGCCGCATTTCTATACCTTTCTTCATGCCAATGCCACGAAAAAATACCCGGTCCTTTTCCAGCAGCCCCACCCAACACCCCTAGCTGGACCTTCCAACAGGTGCCCAGAAACCCAAAAAAGGGCTGAAACATTATGTTCTACTAGCTCTTGCTACCTCAAACCCCATGTGTCCACTTCATTCATTCGTTTTTCTCCACATTCCCAAGCACTTCCCAGCCGCACCGATGCCTCCGTTCCCCACCGGTCCTGGATCTTGATGTCTCCGGACACCACCTCGGTCCACGCAGGCCCCGAAACGGGCCGACTCGGGGAGCTTCGGGGGTTGGACCTGAGAGGGACGAATGGACGAGTGGATACCCTAGCCCTGAGGATCCAGTCGTACCCTCTGAGAAACCACCTGTTGGAAGGTCCTGGTTGAGTGATATTGAGTGTCCCTAAGGATCCAGTCGTACCCTCATTTCGGTTCGGTGGGACTGGGCCAGGAGGGTCCAGTCGTACCGAACTTGAGGAGGTACGAAAACGGATCCCGCTAGGGATGCCGTTTTCGTACCTTCTCAGGCATGGGATCGGGTGCCAGTCGTACCGAACCTGAGAAGGTACGAAAACGGCATCCCTAGAGATGGCACATGATGGCACTGTCGGTGGTTTAGGACCCCCTCATCAGACATGTAGATGGCACAAATGTCCCATGCCGATGGTTTATATGGTATTGAAATAGGGAGACCTCCCAGGCAACGAGCCCCCTGGAAGAAGGGACATAATAAACCAAAACCCGTTGGGGCCAGGGGGGGTTCCCTAAAACACATCTTGAGGTGCCAGTGCCATCTACTGCCACAGCGACTGGCGAATCCAACAGCCATGGCTTTGACTACACTCCCTGAAACAAGTCATGGAAGTGGAACAGTTCGGCCCCAGGAAGACGGTTTTCCTCTACATGGGGGTCCTGGTCAGCTTCCATGATTGTTGGAGGGAGGGTAACATGGACCCACCCTTAAGACCATAACAACCCAGTGGCTTTTAGGGTCCAGGCTAGTCTGCAGGGGGGGTAACATCATGTCCGAAACGATCCTAATGGACTTGCATTCTGACCACATGTAGACAGCAACTTTGATGACCCTCACGTAAACACATCCCTTTGCTGAACCCACCTTCAACGCCTACAAAACAAACCAGGGGAGACTGGAACCACCTGTACTCGTAACACTTCAACCAACACCAACAACAATTCAAAAGAACAACAATGTGTGAATTCAGTGGAATGTGCAAAGCACAATGGTTGTTGAAAGGAGTATTCGTTGTAGCCATCTGATCTGGCTACTTGGAACCCTGTACAGGGTAGTCTGTCTGACACCACCACAACCGACCACAACTATACATGGATGCAAACGGCAAACATTTCTTGCTGCTTCAGCGTCAACTTGCTGAATCCTCTAGCTAGCGTACAATATGTACAGGCTGGCCAGCAAGAATCATCTCTGGATCCACAGCAGTCCTCCTACTTAAGACACACTTAAGCAGTCCTACAGAAGCTGAGTCCGAGTCCTCAATAGATACAGTTGCTGTTGATTCTTTCGGGGCCTAGAAGAAGGTCAGGATGGGATGTGACGAACGGTTCTGATGTGTATCTATCTGCAGTTGAGAGAGTAACAACAGTTGCATATACTCAG